CTTGGAGCGGGTCCGTTTGGACAAGAGCCCGCTTTTCCACTGCAGACTGGGCGTCGGGCCCTGCAGTGCCAGCTCTGTGTTAACGCCCGTGCTCTCCACAGCCCTGCCATCTGCTCGCTCTTTACATTTTCTCTCTTTCCTGCTGTTCACTATATCCTTTTGCTGCAACAATAGTGAACCTCAAAGTAACACAGGTTCTCTTTCCGAGGCCACAATATTAGGAAAGAAATTAGTAATTTCCTGTGCCATTTCTCTCCACCTCTCACCCACCTGAAGGTATTCATGGTCAATAGCATGACATGGGACCTTCCGCGTGGGATGTGCACTTCTTTACAGTCTGAGAAACCAATGTACACATCCACATGTGTGTTGATAAGCATGTTTATTTACTTTTACAAAAGCAGGACATCCACTGAAGTCACTGTGATATAAGATGAGTAAGTTCTAGAAACAGAGCCCATACTTAACAATACAAATTTGTTAAGAGGGTAGCTGTCAAGTGTTCTTATCACATACTAGTGGCCCGGTGCACAAAATTCGTGCATGGGGGTGGGGGGGTCCCTCAGCCTGGCCTGCACCCTCTCGCAATCCAGGACCTCTCAGGGAATGTCTGACTGCTGGTTTAGGGGTGATCAGGCAGGCAGGCGAGCAGTTAGGCACATCAGGCAGGCAGGCCAGTGGTTAGGAGCCAGCGGTCCTGGATTGTGAGAGGGATGTCCGACTGCCTGCCTGCCTGATTGTCCTTAACCACTCTGCCTGCCTGCCTGATTGCCCCTAACCGCCTCTGCCCAGTGCTATGCCTTCGTCCTGAAAGATGTCCCGAATGACATCCGAAGGTCGTTTGGCTGTCCAGTCTAATTAGCATATTATGCTTTCATTATTACAGATGCAAAAATATGCAGAGGGATGCAGGAAACTTGGAGGTGATGGATATGTCTGTTACCTTGACTGGCCATGGTATCACAGGTGTAAGCATGTAGCCAAACTCACTAAATTATATACAATGAATATGTGCAGTTTTTTTTTTGTTGTTGTATCAAGTATACTTCAATAAAGCAGTAAAAAAAAACACACACAAAAAAACAGGACATCAACTTTTCTTAGTTTTATCTCATTATCACCCTTTCAGATCAATAAATGAATGATCTTAAGAGGAAGGGAGAGAGAACCATTGATTTGTTGTTCCACTTATTTATGCATTCATTTGTTGACTCTTGTCTGTGCCCTCACCCGGGATCAAACCCACAACCTTGGCCTATAGGGGTGATGCTCTAACCAATTGAGCTATCCATCTAGAGTATTCTTTTTAATGGCTGCCCGTGATGCCATGAGATGGATGGATTGGCATTTACACCCTGGTCGGTGGATGTTTACAATGTTATGGTCAGAAAAACTCCATGAGAGGGGAAGCGAGTGAATGTGTGTCATTCCAATTTTAGGACGGGAGAAACTGAGGCACAGAGCGCGTCAGCAGTGGGTGGATTGGTCCCGCCAGCTCCTGGCAGATGTGTGGCAGAATGAACCCAGCATTGTTCTTGCTTCATGCTGCCACAAGGAGGCACTGTTAAAACTTGCTCCCGTGCAGTCTCTGTAGACAAACTGCCCCCTTCCTTGCTAACACTAGGATTCTGGATGCCCCTCTTCGGTTTCAAAAGTCCAATTAAACCTTTTCCTGCCACTGACAATCACGATCTATCCTAATTTTGAATAACAGGGAGATGGGTTGGAAGAGTTCAATTTCTTCTTTCTCAGAAATCCCTGGGCTCCTTATGCAAATCCATTTTTTCTCCAATGGACAAGTTTGCCCACGGAGGTCTGAGAGGATCCCTCTAGGCCAGTGGTTCTCAACCTTCCTAACGCCGCGACCCTTTAATACAGTTCCTCATGTTGTGGTGACCCCCAATTTCATTGTTACAAATTGAACATCATTAAAGCATAGTGATGAATCACAAAACAATATGTAATTGTATATGTGTTTTCCGATGGTCTTAGGCGATCCCTGTGAAAAGGTCGTTGGACCCCCAAAGGGGTTGCGACCCACAGGTTGAGAACCGCTGCTCTAGGCTCAGCTTCACCTGCCTCTCCTCCCAAACCCAGCAGCAAGGACCTTCTTATCTTCTCTTTACATATCCAAGGGAGACCAGAGACTGATTCCTCACAGGACAAAGACTGCCGACTTCAAGGTACTTTCAGACATGAAATTCATACGAAAGTCATAGAAATCCAAACACAGCTTTATATAGCCACGAACACACGTGGCTTAAGTGAACATATAACGTCTTGCTTATTCAGACACGTGGTGAGCTTTACCCATTTAAGTGTATACAGGATCCAAATTCAGGATTTTGCTCACTAGTTTCTGATTCTGCAGTCTGTGCCAAATTGGTTTTACAGCTCTGCGGAGCCCCAACTTTCAAACAGAGGTGACAGTTTTCAGATTCGTGTGTAATCTTCCAGGCTCAAAAAGAAACAAATAAAACAGCAAGCAGGTCCCCACACATGAATATATACCCTTGGATATTTGGGGTCAATTTTTTGTTGTTGCATAAATGGTACCTATAGGACATGGTGTAAACTGCTTTTTTGTAAAGTCCATTCTTCACCTGGGGCAGAGAGTGGAGTGGATGGACGGGGGTGTGGGTGACAATGGGCCTTTTCTGAGGTAATGTCACAGGGAGTGCTGCTTCATTCTGGGGAGCACAGGAAGATCTGAGTGGACAGGCCCCTGATCCTGGCCCACCTGTGGGGGGCAGTGTGGTCCTTTTTATTGTTATTTGTTAATGAGGAGGGATACAATTGTTCTTTAGTGGCGTTCTTAAAAAACGAGAGAGACAAGTGGATGCCCTAGTGGAGAGAAGAGGACACTCAGTCATTTATGTCTTAATTTGGATGCTTCTAATTTGCCTGCTTTCTAATAGGTTGTCTTGGTATTTGTGGGCTGTGGAGGTTATTCTGGAAAAAAAAATCACACGTGTAATAGACACATTTGTAGAAAATCCAAGCACTGTGAACATTTACAGAGTAAGGAATCTTTTCAACAGCCCCTTTCCTCCGTAGAGGCAACAGCAGTTACTCAGGGCTGGATCCTTCTCTCCCTGGCTGCCCAGTGAGGGCGGGACCAGGTGCACCAGCATTGCCCAGACAGGTTAGAAATGAATGCAGAGTCTTGGGCTCCACCCCAGACGGTTGAAGTGTTCACTGTTTTTTTTTTTTAAAAATATATTTTATTGATTTTTACAGAGAAGAAGGGAGGGACAGAGAAACATCAATGAGAGAGAAACATCAATCAGCTGCCTCCTGCACGCCCCCCACTGGGGATGTGCCCGCAACTAAGGTACATGCTCTTGACTGGAATCGAACCTGGGACCCTTCAGTCTGCAGGCCCACGCTCCATCCACTGAGCCAAACCGGTCAGGGCTGTTCACTGTTCTTATGTATTGATTTACATATTTCTATGTGTGCAAACACGTGCTCCTGGGGTTGATTATGTGGCTTTGGTCATGGCTCTCGGGACACTAGCAACAGCAGCGCTATTTGGGGGGCAGTTAGACATACAAAAGATCAGGTCCCAGCTCAGAATTACTGAATGCAGACGCAGTGGAGGTGGGCACAGCGAACAGTATTTTAACAAGTTCCCCAGGGGTGCTGATGAACTCTGTGAGAGGGGAAGTGCGGGAACCACTGCTGAAAAGTGGGGACTCTTACCCGCTCTCCTGCCAGGCGCCCGCCCCGCATCACATCTATCACCCCTTTGTCTATCAGGGAAGTACCCAGATCCAGCTCCACCAGGCATACACCAGACGCTCCATTAATACTTTCTTCAATTGGGTATCTGGGGCTAACACAGGTTCTTCCAATTTAGGTCAGGCTGTTTTTCAGATTATACAATTTCTGGAGGCTGATGGAGGTCGTGGCATAATCTCTATAAGCTCACTCGAGCAGGCTCGTGTGCATCCTTTCCTGGTGCAAACAGGTGCCATATGGCCACATCTGCTTTTACTTAAACCTATCTCTGGGCAGCTGCTTCAACACCAACGCTGGAAAGAGACCCATTATACGGAGGGGCAAACGGAGGCCCAGAGAGAGGGTTCAGTTTTCATGTCAGAGCTGCTGCAAGCCTGGGCAGCATTTCCTCTCTCTGACGCAGAGCCTACGATGGATTTCTTTGTAAAATAGCAAGCCAGACCCCAGCTGACTCCGGGTGTGGGCTCGGTGTCAAGCAAAGGCAGTTCTCTCTTTAGAGGATAAAATTGGACTTCAGAATGCAGAAAAGAGCTCAGTTGCTCTTATGCCAAGTGCCATCAACTATAGGGGTCTTGCCCGGAGGGTGTTGAGCCTTCCCGCAGGTCACGGTTTCCAGGTGACCCATGGGGCAGTGGAGTTTGTGTCCCCCGCCCACCGGAGCCCCCCACCTTCCCCAGGAAACGAGCCGCCCGAGGTCCAGGGTCCGGGCAGTGTCGGGAGGGGAGAGTACTGTGCGCCGGCTGGTAGGACCTCCCAGACTGCAGGGGCGGGAGTAGGGTCTGAACGCAAACTGAGTGAAAAGAGTTGGCCCAGTCGGGACCTAGAGGTAAAGATCTGAACGCGGCACCAGCGGGTGTAGACTACCGATGAGCGCTGTGAAAAGTAGTCCCACTTCTAAAAAGTCTTCCGCAAAGAGGACTTAACACAAGGCACGGACGGGGTTCGAACCCGTGATCTTCGGTTTACGAGACCGACGCCTTACCACTTGGCCACCGCGCCTGCGTTAGAATGGCGGCTCGGGGAGCGTCTATCCTGTCTTCACTCCCGTGAGCTC